TGACATTGTGAGTATTATTGTGCCGGCCTCTCCAGGCCGCCTGCTGATGCTGATGATGTCATTGCCCCTTTTCTTTGGGAGGACGTCTGATGAAGATGAGGATTTCTGGTAGGTGGTGCCCTTGTGATGGTGGGCAAAGGAATAAATGCTGAGTATTATTATGCTTGGCCTCTCCAAGCTGCCTGCTAATGCTGATGATGTGATTGCCCCTTTTCTTTGGGAGGACGTCTGATGAAGACGAGGATTGCTAGTAGGTGGTGCCCTTGTGATGGTGGGCAAAGGAGTAAATGGGTGACCTATGAGTATTGTGATGCCTCTCCAGGCGCAATGCTGAGTCCTTTTGAAGATTGATTGTTTGATTGTTGATGGATGGTTGTAGAATGAAAGACTGCCCCTAGGTGGATGGGCAAGATGATAGCAAAACTAGGAGAAGTGAAGGTGATTCTTCTCCACGGAATTGCTTAGGCCGGATCTTCTTCAAAAGAGACTTGATTCCACAACTAAGAACACTTGAAGACTATGAACTCACGGATACACTCTTCCAAAGTTTAGGAGGGAAGCATCCAAGCTCAAGCATCAATGGATTCTCACTTCAAAAAGTAGGAAAGAAGACAACTAGCCTAAGGTTTTTGAAGGTGAGAGGTTGGAGCCTTTTGAGAGAATATTAATTGTGTTTCATCATTGCTTTCTTGTATCAACCTGTGACTATGTCTAAGTGTAAACTTACTTGTTCAACCGCTTTTTGTGTTATGTTATGGGAAAAAGTTTTATATCGGTTGAGTTGAGATTAACGATAAGATAGTTTATGCAATTGCTTATAATACGAAAAACGTCTATATACACTATAAGGTAATGTGTTGTATCATATTTAAAAAGTAACACAGTAAGAGCATTTGTATATTTAAGTTTATGTATACATGTTTGTAAACATTACAAATGTCTTGTACCATTTTAAATGTATGTGGCTCTAAAACTAGTTTTCAATTTTTTTTAAAAAAATTTATAAACTTAATTTATGCATTAAAAATTTTAAATCCAACGATTAGATAGTTAAAATTTGATATAGAATATAAGTCATTCAATGAAGTAAGTTTAGATAGAATATATATTGATTTTATAATTACCCGTCAATTTGAATTAATGAAATGAAGTATTAAATGATTTTCAAATTTTCTAAAAATTTGCAGACTTCTTTATATATTAAGAACTTTAAATTCAATTGTTAGATCGTTAAAATTTAATGTAGAACATGAGTTATTGAACGAAATAAGTTTAAGTAAACTTACTCCTGAAATAAACAAATTTCTCTCTCTCTCTCTAATATATATATATATATATATATATATATATAATGAAGGTATAATAACACTTGTATAACTTTTACTAAGTATTACACTGCTCAATAACTTTATATTAATTGTAAATTTTGTAAATCCAACTGTTAGATTAAAAGTTCATACCTTTTTATATGTCTATATCAAATTTTGTTAAAATTGAATAACAAATTTAAGGTAATCAAAGTGTTCATATTTTAGTATATTTTTTTAAATAAATATATTACGTCAAATTTATTTTATAAGA